ATGGAGACATCAAGGGTCTCCAAGACCGCTGTCACCTAGGACCCCCCAAAAGAAGCTGATGAAGCACAGATCTGCTCCATCAGCTTCTTTGCAGCTTCGGAAGCTGGAGAGTGACACAAGAATGCGGAAGGGATGTATTATACAACACTTCCGCATTCTTGCAGAGGAGAGGGGACCGGAGGGAGCTCGTGTACCGAGCTCCCTCTGACCTGTGACACAGGCACCATGCTGATCCCGGGCTCGCACCGGGCACAGCAGAGCCCGGGATCAGCGCAACAACGGCGAGGGGGGACACACACACACACACACACACACACACCGATCGGCACCTCATACACGCGATCCGCCGGCTCTACAGCCGGCGGATCGCTTGTATGGTAATAGGCATCGCTGCCTGTTTTTAAATTTCGTCCGTTTCCCACACATACCGGGTTCGCTCACCTCTCGATCCTGTCACGGCAGTTCCCCTCTCCCCGCTCCGATCTGCCAGCGCTGACTGGCGGAACGGACGGGGGAGGGGGCGGGTACAGCTGGCTCTGCCTCTAGATAGGCAGAAGGAGCTGTCACTCACGCAGCTGGGCGGATCTCGACGTCGATGTCGGATACGCTCCGGCTGCGGCTGTAGCTCACGGTATACTGAGCTTAGGGTAACGGGAGGACGCTAGTTTGTGTCCTCCCGTTACCCTAAGGAGAACTATGGGGAAAAACACTGACCCCATAGTTCTCCTTTAAGGAAAAATTATTGAAAATTTTGACCAAAAAAAAGTAATTTTTTCATTATGTAGGGAAACAATGATTATTAACCATATTTTTGGTAAAATATAAAAGACGGAGTCACGTTGGGTAAATAGACACCAAACATGTCAAGCTTTAAAGTGACATTAAACCCTCAGATTTTTTAACATAAAACAATACTGTAATGTGTGCCTTACTGTAATCCATGGTTGTTTCCCTTCTCTTTGCTGCTGTTCCTTTTAAATCTGTATCTGTTCTCATGCTGGGCAGAACTTCTGTTTTGCAGCATACTGCCTTGTCTCTGGAATGGATACATGGTGTCTGTGTGTAGGTTTGCAACCTGAGCCAGCACTACAGGAAGAGGCACTCAGCTGCAAAGGGAAGTTCTCCCCCAGCATAAGAAGACATGAGGATTTAAAAGGAAGAGCAGCAAAGAGAAGGGAAACTACCGTGGATTACAGTAAGGCACACATTACAGTATTGGTTTAAGTAAAAAATTCTGAGGGTTTAATGTCACTTTAAAATTGCACGCACCTGCGAAATCGCAAAAAACCACCATACCCAAAATTGACCATAGGTGACGCTTTAAAAGCTTTTACCGCTCATCAGTTTAGCGTTATCAGCGATTGATGGCCCTAGAATTATTGCTCTCATTCCGACGTTCGCGACGATATGTAACGTGTGGTGTAATGGGCGCAATCGTCGTTTTCACACGTATGCGCACCCGATGCATGTTTGCATCCGTGTATGGGGGGGACTTGATAAAACATTTGTTTTTTTACATTCCTTTTTTATGTGCAAGTTTAAATTTTTTGGGGGAAACTAATTTCCCCCCCACTTTATTGCTATCACATAGGGGGATAAGAAACCCCTCTATGTGATAGCAAAATATGTGACAGGTCCTCTTTATGGAGACATCAGGGGTCTCCAAGACCCCTAATGTCACCTAGGACCCCCCTGAAGAGATCTGTTTCATCAGCTTCTCCCCAGCATTTGAAGCTGGAGAGTGGCACAAGAATGCGGAAGTGATGTAATATACATCACTTCCGCATTCTGACAGCGGAGATGGGACCGGAGGGAGACCGTGTACCGATCTCCATCTGATCCCCTGTCCGAGAGGCACTATGCTGGTCCCGGGCACAGCGGAGCCCGGGACCAGCATGAGAGCGGGAGGGGGAAGCCGCGGAGGGGGCGCACATACCGGGTCCCCATACAAGCGATCCGCCGGCTCTTTAGCCGGCGGATCGCTTGTATGTTAACAGGCATCGGTGCCTGTTTTTAAATTTTAGGACTTTCCCGCTTGGCGCGCATGAGGGGGCGTGGCTGAGCAGACATCTAAAGACGCTCACTCAGATCTACAGAGCTCCCGGCCGGCCGGGAAGTGGTTAATTATATTAAGCAGTCATTGTAAATTAATCTCACTATTACTGCTTGATAATTTAATTAATTCATTTTTTGTATTTTTAGGCTGCTTCAAACTTAAGAACAGCCAATAATAAACTTAGTGACACTGATCCTGCAGCATCCACGCTTAGTACACAAGCTGAGATCTATGCGCATAGATGAAATGGTGTTTACATGGATAGAGAACTGGCCACAGGAACATGTCCAGAGAGTATTGATCAATGGCTCTTTTTCAGATTGGTCTATGGTTGAGAGTGGCGTGCCTCAGGGTTCTGTACTAGGTCCCATACTGTTTAATTTGCTAATGAAAGAGATATCGGGGAAAGAATAGCCATGTTTCTATGTTTGCTGATGATACTAAAATTGGCAGGGTAATAGACACGGACCTAGACACTGTAACCTTGCAGGAGGACATGGATAAAGTAGGGGAGTGGACATCTATATGGCAGATGAGGTTTAATGTTGAAAAATGTAAATTAATGCATTTTGGGGTAAAAAAACAGGCAAGAAGAATACACATTAATGTGTACTCCACTAGGGAAGTCATAAATGGAAAAAGATCTGGGGGTCATAGTAGACCACAGATTGAATAATAGTTTGCAATGCCAGGCTGTGGTAAACAAAGGGAGCAGAGTACTGTCTTGTATTAAAAAGGGAATGTACTGTAGAGACAAAGCAATAATTTTGCCACTTTATAGATTACTGGTTCGGCCGCATCTGGAGTATGCGGTCCAGTTTTGGTCACCAATTCACAGAAAAAATGTCCTTGAGCTGGACAAAGTCCAGAGAAGGGCAACTAAACTAATTAAGGGGCTAGAGGACCTAAGCTATGAGACAAGGTTACTAAATTTAAACTTGTTCACGCTGGAAGTGAGGAGATTAAGAGGGGACATGATTTTGATGTACAAAATGTTTAGTGGTGATGGCAACATCAGCAATAAACTTTTTTACAGTAAACTCCATAACAAAGACTAGAGGCCACCACCTAAAGCTGGTGGAGAAAAGATTTAACCACAAGGGGCGTAGGGACATTTTTTCAGTCAGAGCGGTTAAAGTCTGGAACTCGCTGCCACAAGAAGTGGTATCAGCTGAGAATATTGAATTATTCAAAAAGCATTTAGATACCTTCCTCAGAGACCGCAACATACAGGGGTACAGGTACACTTAAAGACAAGGACACACAGGAACTTGTGTACACATATAAACATGCACAATCACACACACAAAGGTTGCACTTGATGGACCTGTATCTTTATGCAACCTCAAATACTATGTAACTATGTAACTAGGGATGCTCCGATACCACTTTTTTAAGACCGAGTACGAGTACTGATACTTTTTTTCAAGTACTCGCCGATACCAATTACCGATACTTTTTCTTAAAGGGACAGGTCACATTTTTTCTAAAGCAATACAAAATCATGATTTTAGGTCATTTTCTTAATATTATGAACAACGCTTGTATCCCCATAGTGGGGAAAATAGATGAGCACATGTACAGACTCAAGAACACTGTATAGTGTGGCACAGCTATATCCAATTCTGTATAACTGGCTTTATATTATTATTAATTTTTTTATAATATAAAGCCAGGTATGCAGAATTGGATATAGCTGTGCCACACTATACAGTGTTCTGGTCTGGAGTCTGGACATGTGCTCAACTATTTTCCCCACTGGGGGGATACAAGCCTTAGTTAACAATATCTGCATAGTTATTTCTTTATTGAATGTCTTTTTTTTAAATATTATATGCAGTTAAACAGCATTTTTGTGCCCAGCCCCATGCGGTGCTGCAGTACTAACCTGCTGTGTCGTCTTCTCCGTCTGCTTCAGCCACTCCGTGTCACAGCCTAGTCATCTGCTTCATTCTGACCTCTTCTCCCGCTGATTGGCCGATTGGATGATCCTCACTCCTGACTGGTGAGGAAGCCTGTCAATCATCCAATCAGCGGGAGAAGAGGTCAGAATGGAGCAGATGACTGAGGACTTGGAGGAGTTTGCGGCCATCTTGTAACATTGAAGACGCTATGGAGGTCCTGTGTGCGGCGGTTTCGGGTCCTTGAAGATGGCGGACAAGGCACAGGTACTCGTTTTTTGTATTTGCACGAGTACGAGTACTCTGCTGCCGATACCGATGCTTGTATCGGAGCATCCCTATATGTAACATTTCAGGATCAGATGCCACTTAAGGCTTCTGATCGTTCCCACAACAATCAGAAGCCTGCAACATTGTTTCAGCAAAAAAAGCTAAATGTTTCTATTGCTGAAACTTTAGGGGAAAAAAGCCAGTATACATCAGGATTTCCTAATCCCGGTCTATACCAGCTGTCAATACTGCTCTGCACTCACTGTCAGACACCCGATATCTGAAAGGGATCGGGTGTTTGAAAAAGCTTAACTCTTTCATTAATGGATGCCCCTATACTAAGACACCCATTAATGAATGGTAACCGCTGATTCTGAGCTGTTACCAGCATTAGAGAGCCCCAAATAGCTGATTTGGGCACTTAGTGGCGGGGACGCACAGTGTACATCTCTCATCACTAAGGGATTAAAACATACTATAATACACATCATTTACAAGTATTTAGTGCTTTCTTCTATTATTTTTTTTAATTCTCCCTACAGGTAATTGTATTCCTAAACCATGCAAATTCCTAGCGTCAGGTTAAACACCTTCTACTCATAAGCCAGTTATTACTATTCTTGAGCAATTCGGAGAGTAGTGTGGTGAAAGGTAACAAGGAGGACAAGATACTGCTTGTGCTATTGACAGTGTACTTAAACTGTTAGTTGAAAACAAACGGTTTTTAAAACAAATAACTTGGAGATCCAGTGGTTTTCATCCAGTCTGCTTACCTGTTCAAAATCTTGGCTGTTAACTTCATGTAACCAACTAAGATGTTCATGAGCTTGCAGAAATGAAGCCAGATGTCCATGCTGAGAAACTGGTTGAGACAAAAGCTTTCCACGCTTTCCTTTCTCTAAATACCAGCGGAACAAGAAATCTGAAAAATTCTGAAAACACAAACAAAAAGCTTAAAAATAAACTTGATTATGTTTTTCCAATTAATAACTTGGTTATTGATATAAAGATTTGAGGAGAGACCATTTAGATCATAGAGGTGTGTTATTTTAGAGCGTTAGGCAAAGGTGCTGACATACATCAACGTGCGTTCCCTTTGTGCCTTGAAGGAGAACTCTAAGGCGAGTGCTTTTCACTCACCTCATAGTTCTAGCTGACCTGAGACAATGAGACTGTCAAAGGTCGGCTCAGTAGATCGGGAGGTGAGCGAACACATACCGGCGTTCGCTCACTTCTCTATGCCGTGACAGGGGAGGGGCTGGATTCCCCCCTCCCCACTCCAATCCTCCAGAGCTGACTGGCGGAACGGACGGGGCAGGTACAGCTGGCTCTGCCTCTAGATAGGCAGAGCCAGCTGTCACTCACGCAGCTGGGCGGATCCAGACATAATTGTCGGGATCCGCTTCAACTGCGGCGTCTCTGTATACCGCTAGCTGTAGCTCGCGGTATACTGAGCTCAGGGTGACGGGAGGATGCTAGTTTGTGTCCTCCCGTTACCAGGAGAACTATGGGGAAAAGCCCTAACCCCATAGTTCTCCTTTAACGTGTAATTGGTACTTGCTGAAGTGCATTTTGAATTGTTGTGGATAGAATCAAAGCTTAAGTAAAGCTAGGTTAAAAAAATAAAAATCCTATAAAGATTTATTGTTTTTCCAAAAAAAACAGGAAGAAATACTGAGGTTTATGAGAGATATGACACCATGGCTTGAAGTTTGATGAAAAAGTTTTATTTTAAAAAACACATATTGCAAATATACATACACAATTCAATAAAAAGAAAGCAACTCTAGTTGCGACCAATAAAACCAAGGTTAGACCAAAGGCATAAACCCATTAAACATATTCAGATGAAACCATTAGGATCAATATATTGTGTATGTCCAATCCCTACGCGTTTCACAACATTTTGCTTCTTCAGGGGATTGTGACCTACCCTGATAAAAGATAATACATTCAATTAACATGAGTCTGCAAAATTGTTAGGTCTATTTTCGAGTGTATAAAGTGCACAGAGTATGTAGAGACATGTGCCTGGTTTTTTTTATACCCAACGGAGAGAGTCCCACCACCGTTTACACCACCATATGCTAGTTTACTCACCACCCAGTTGGAGTGGCTGAATGAGGGTCAAGCTCTCTGTGAGGAGCCTAGGTGGAGAGAAACTAAAAGAAAAATCGTGGATTGCCCCAACATGGGTTCCCTGTACTATCTCTCCCCCTCAAATAAATTGAATATAAAAAAAGTAGGGGAAAAAAGAGGGTTTGTGGAGAGATAGGTGTGACCCAAGCATGTGTAAAAGTTGTATCAATTTATTGAATACAAAATACAAAATATAGTCTCAGGCCGATTGCTTCTAAATGTATATATATAATAAAAGCCATAATCATCCAATACCGTATATACTCATTTTCCCACCCTCGGCTTATACTCGAGTCAATATTTTTTCCCATTTTTTTGTGGTAAAATTAGGTACCTCGGCTTATATTCGGGACGGCTTATACTCGAGTATATACAGTATACAAAAATACAAATACATAACTGGCATGATAGTCCTGGTATTCATTATTGTTCAAAATTACATGATCCAATTGTATATAACAATAACATGATTGTCCCGATTGTTCCAACGCGTTTCGCAAAGTTTAGCTTCTTCAGGGGACCGGTATTTAACATTCATGCATCAACAGTGCATGAGATAGAAACAAATATGACGAGGGGCGAGATGATCAGGTGGCTAAAGCACAGCCAACCACCCCATCTCTTTTCCAGCCTGGGACCCCGGGGCATCAAGGGGAGAAACGCCTGGGAAACTTCACGGAGGCCCAGCCTTCCCCGCTGGGATGTCTCTATAGAATCGTATACAGATGTACTTGTATGGCTATGAGATATGGGATGTGTTCAAACTTCTTATGCGCTGAATACTAAAGTAGTGCAATCATATAAAAAACAGGTCTATGAATGTTGGAGCAGAAGAACACCACAAGATAGGTGTAGGCAGCTTTTCCTCCCATATGTGAACTGGTGATCCCTCCCACCTGCAGCGGCCCCGAGGTCCTCCCTTCCTTGGGACAGAAAGAACTGAACGGAGCACCCCCCCTCCTTTGGAGGATTTTCTCTCCACCTAGGCTCCTCCCAGAGAGCTTGACCATCATTAAGCCACTCCAACTGGGTGGTGAGTAAACTAGCATATGGTGGTGTAAACGGTGGTGGGACTCTCTCCGTTGGGTATAAAAAAAACCAGGCACATGTCTCTACATACTCTGTGCACTTTATACACTCGAAAATAGACCTAACAATTTTGCAGACTCATGTTAATTGAATGTATTATCTTTTATCAGGGTAGGTCACAATCCCCTGAAGAAGCAAAATGTTGTGAAACGCGTAGGGATTGGACATACACAATATATTGATCCTAATGGTTTCATCTGAATATGTTTAATGGGTTTATGCCTTTGGTCTAACCTTGGTTTTATTGGTCGCAACTAGAGTTGCTTTCTTTTTATTGAATTTTGTATGTATATTTGCAATATATGTGTTATTTAAAATAAAACTTTATCAAACTTCAAGCCATGGTGTCATATCTCTCATAAACCAGTATTTCTTCCTGTTGTTTTGTAATTGATTATTGTGTAGGGGGAGAAATCACACCTGGGGGGCCATTGGCCTAGCTACCCACAACTGTCTTGTAAATTTTCCAAAACAAAGATACAATTTGACATAACCAAAGAGAAGAGTAAACATGCAGTTGTGACATATATCCGCCAATCAAATATCAATGAGGTACAATGACACCAAACTACTACAAATATTCACTAGAATATGAGAGTAGTAGTAGATGTTGAATAGAAGAAGGGAGAAGGAAGAGAATAAAAAGAAAACAAAGAAGGTGCTCCTGTGGTATATATTGCTATCAAGTATCTCAGAAACATGGTTTCAAGGCTATCTCCCCAGAGACATTAAGAATAGTCAGGTAGCATTGAATACAAAAGAGGAGGCAGGAACTCCCCAAAAAAGGCTCCTCTTCCTCAAAAGGGAGGTTTTAGGCGAGTGAGGGAAAGAGCAAGTACACACAAGATAGGTTTAAGATGGGATGCTACAAAGGAAAGAGAATAAAAAGAGAAAAGGAGAAGGAAAAAGACAACTCCAGTACAAGAAAAGAGAAGGTTTAGAGGGTTAGAAGGGGAATGGAGAGCAGGAGTCAAGGAAATGGGGAGGGTGGGTGTGACCAAACAGCCCTTCCGGTGGAGCCCTAAAAAGAGGGTTTATCAAAGGCACTACATATCAGGCGCACAGACATGTAAGGAATAGCAGGAGGGCGACTTCAAACCTGAATATTCCTATCCACTCCAGAAAAAGGCTAGTATAAAGCTCCCATGGAAAAATTAATCCAACAGGACCATACAGCGACACATTTATCTAATTAGTCCATGTTGGTATATAAAAGTTCTTCCATTTCACAAATATGATTGACCTGTCTGATCCATTCAGTAACAGAGGGAGCTTGCGTGTCTCTCCAGTGTCTTGGAATAATAGTTCAAGCAGAATTTATTAAATGCCTATGGAGAGATTTAGGGGTACGCAAGGGTAGCCGTTATTGCCAGTGCAGAAGGAGTACAGCAAGGACAATCTCGTAACTTGGGATGTAACTGCATGGACCTGTGTCCAGTACACTGTGAGGGCAGAGCATGTCCAGAAGATGTGGAGGAGAGAACCAACTTCTTTCTAACAGAGCCAACAAAGGCTCGGCAAGATAGGATATATCTTTTGAATAATCAAAGGGGTCCTATACCAGAAAGTATTTTATAATTTGTCTCTTGCGTCCAGATACTAACAGAGCTCTTATGGACGCTGGAGCAAGTATCTGGAGCAAGTAAGGAATCATCTGAGAGGGTAGTCAACAACTATTTTTCCCACCCAACCTGTCGACAGAGTGTGCAATGAGACACCTGATCTTCTAACATTGCGTATAGCCAAGAAATCAGATGCCTCGTAGGACCCACACCAGTGCAATCTTGTTCAAACGTGGTAAGGGGTCTCAAGAAATGTTGGTTCCCATGTGAGTGTAAAAGGCAATGCTTGATTTGTAGGTATGACCATCAAGGAATGGAGCCAGTGCAGTAGAGCTGCCCTTTCCAGGAACATCTGATCCTGAAAAAAGGTTTAAGCTATCAAGGAACATGAGGATTTCCAAGTGTGGCACCAGGAACAATATCTATGTTGTTAGTCAAGGGGTCAATTGACTATCAACAGTTGCGATTGTGTTCTATGTCGTAAACAGCGGCGTATAGCGAATCTGCCGCTCCAGGCAAACGCCTTGTTTGCCTCGCGGCAGATACGCCCCTGGTTGTAAACGAGAGAGTTCGATCAATGTCGCAGAAATGAGTGGGTGGGAGGAGGCAGTGTTCAGACACTGATCGGATCGCAACCAGGTCATCGAAGTCAAGGGCGTTTGGGATCAAGTCTGCTCAATATTACCCATTGTTTGGATTGTGAATGAACATGCCAATGTATAATTTTGGTAAGATGAGAAGCGATGTAATAATTAAGAAAAGATGGAACACCTAATCCTCCCTGTGTCTTGTGTGCTTTCATCAGGGGCCAAGTGAGACGAGGATGTCTATCTCTCCAGATAAACTTGGAAAAGTCAGCCTCTAATTTCTTGGGTTTTTTTTATTCGTTTATTATCTGGACATGTACAGAATACACGAAATATAGCCATTAGTACAAAGATACATGATATACAATTATACCGTTTGTACTCTTGGAATGTTCCAAGAGCTAGAATAACCACATAGTACCCAGAAACCAAAATCTGATGACGACCCCTATAAGGTAGGTAACCTGAGCAATAATTATAAGATCGTATAGCCGTGTATGTCGTATCCTGCAATTGGTGTAAAAAAGGGGGTCGTGTGAAAGGCAGAAACGCAGA